TTCAAAACAAAGTGACTGTTTAACCAAGACTTGCTCACTATACCACCCTAATTCTCTGTCTGCAGTCGGCGAGGAGGAAGCCATTAGCCAACGCCCGCAGTGCTGGTGATTTATCCGTGGCACCGGGCACCACGAGCACAATCCGGGTTGAAAAATGAAGGCCCCAGAGTGGAGCCCTCCCTGCCGTGTGCTTTAGTGATGACTGGCTCTCCCTTTTGATGGTGTGGTCTTCTTGCTCGAGGAACGAGCCTATCTTAGGGCCCCCATCCCTTACAGATCTTACCTCTCCAGTCTTTCATTGCTGTGTTCATTCACACACACACACATAAATTAGCTGCCAACATCCCTATAGATGAAGTATTGACAATCTTAATGACTTCATCTGAATGACTGAAATCAAGCATGACCAGTCCATCGAAGTGGAAGAAACATCGTTGGCTATTGATTGCCTTCAATCCCTAGGAGAGGGATGGCGATCCAACTTCTGTTTTCTAAAGGATAAATGTACTGCTTTTCTCTCAAGGAAAAACATGATGGGCATGTTGAGCTATCTTCCAAAAAAAAAAAAAGAAAGAAAGAAAGAAAGAAAGAAAGAAAGAAAGAAAGAAAGAAATATAGTTGGCTATTCTTTACCAGCTTCTCTCTTAGCTCAGAATCGATCTAGTTTTATTCTCTCCTTCTCAACCCTATCCCTATTTTATACCAGCTCCATCTCACCCATCTCCTTAGTAGCATTGGTTCCTTGCATGGTTTAAAATGCACTTGATAGAGCCTAGTTAAATTCACTTTTCGTTCATGGACCTTTTACAGTACCAGGAGCCTCCATAGTTCAGAGATTCTCTTTGAGGAGCTGCCAGCCAATCAAGTGAGGGAGAGGTATGTGTAAGCTGTGAAAAGTGGAGACAAGATGTGTTGGTGAAGAGGCAGCAGCAGAGCTGGACCAGTGAGGGAGTCTACCAAGCTCTTGATGGATGGATGGGGACATTGTAACTCTGTCATGTTGATCTGGAGGTCCAAATTAATGTTGCCCCCACCATCTGCATATTAAAAAGAATGATTTCATCCACGGTACTGACACTTCTAGCTCTGTCATGTTTTTATCCTCACATTTGGTGTCATAATCAAAAGCTTTGTCACTGAGTTGTGGCATTTACATAGCATTCACGAAGGCCTGGGTTTAATTCCCAGCATAGTATAAATCAGGTAGGCTGGTACACATCTATAATCCCAGTATTCGGATGAATGAAAACAGGAAGTCCCAAACTTTAAGGTCATCTCCCTGGCTACCCAGGCTACCTAGAGAACCTGAGGCCAGCTGGCCAGCTACATGAGACTCACTGTCAAACAAATTAAAACAAAAATATCTTTGTCCTTGAAGCTGGAGACTAGTTTTGTTAAATAATGTCATTCAGCCAGTTTTTAAACATCTCTTCATTTGGCTAACAAGTAGGGGCAATATTTCTGCCATGTGCTTTCTGGGGACAGAGTCAGACACAGCCACACACTGCTTTTCTCCCAGAAGCAATGTTCTCCAGCCTTCAGGGGCCTGTTGAAACGGAAGGTAAAAACAGCAGAGCAGTCAGATCCTTAGAGAATGGCCAGTCCTATGCCACCGCTCACCTGAAGGAGCGTCTACACTGTGGGAGTCACCTAATCCAGAACCCAGAATCTGAGGGAAGATCTTATAATTTAGGGTGGTTAGAAAGATGCGTGCAATTGTGGGGGGCACGTCTAGAGATATGACTTGGTAGTTCAGAGTACTTGCTCCTTTTACAAAGGTCCTAGGTTCTATTCCCAGCAACTTACAGGGCAGCTCACAACTGCACCTAACTTCAGTTCCAGGGTATCCAATACCCTCTTCTGATTCAATGGTAGATACACAGACATACACTCAGGCAAAAAAAATCCCATACACATGAAAAAAAAAAATAAGCTGGGTGGTACATGCCTTTAATCTCAGCACTCAAGAGGCAGAGGCAGGCAGATCATCTCTGAGTTCGAGGCCAGCCTGGGCTACAGATTGAGTTCCAGGATAGCCAGGGCTATACAGAGAAAGCCTGTCCCTCCCCGCGCTCTTCCCCCCAATAGAAAAAAAAAGAAAGGAAAGGAAAGAAAGGAAGAAAGATGTAAGGGGCTCAGTGACTTCAGTCTGTTCATGAGCCCCGAGTGGAAGCCAACATGTGTACAGCTGTACAGACAGCTCAGTCCCAGCCAAGAATCTGTACAACTTTTAACCCATAACCGTTCAGCACTATGATAAAGATAGGTACAATAAATCAATGATGAGCGTACATGCTCCTCAGCGAAGAGGTCACAGGTTAGTGCACTTCTGAGTCCGGTAAGGACCCCAGGTTTTTCTCTCAGCAGAGAAGGGATGATGTCCAGCTAGGGAAGCAGACACATTCTAAAGGGCAATTCCCGGTCAGCGAGCCTCTAGCAAAGTCGTGCATTGAAGTAAGCCCCACCTTGAAATTTTGCCCACCTCCAAACTCAGGTTGGTGGCTTTTGTCGGGAGCCGCTGGGGAATTTGAAACGGACCCTCTGACACAGCGGCCCTGGGGAGAGTCGGGCTGCAGGGCTGAGGTGAGGGCAGCTCCTCCTTGTAGCTGGTTACTGGTGTGCTCTGAGAACACACCCTGCCGAGGACAAGCATCACAAAGCCCCCCCCCCCCCGGGACCTTAGGAAAAGTCCTTGAAAACAGTGAAACAGGAGTCTCCACTGAAATCTGGAATCCATTCCAGTCTCACACAGGAAGAAAATTAGGCAAAGAACAACAAAGCTCGTAGTTCAGAGAAACCTGGGGAGGCTCTATCTGACAGTAAAATCATGGAAGACTTTTTTCCCATATAGCTTGGTATTTCCTAAAGCCTTTTCATCTGTGCAGCCCCGAAGCTGATAGAACAAACATACTGTACGGCTAGTAGATGGCAATAGCTGAGAGAGCCATCAGCAAAGCAAGCAGAGTCAGGACAGAAATGCTGACTGATGTGGTGAAGGCCACCTGACCCGTCTCCAAGCTGCTATTGCACAGTGGATGCTATTCTTCCAAACCCTAGCAGCCAACGCTGCTGTTTTCCTCTTTGGAATAATGTATTGGTCATAACAGGAGCAACAGAGGTAACTGCTGGGATCCAAGGGAAAAGCCGTGCTTCCCAGGCTCCGATGCTGAGATCCAGTTCATGAGTCCAGATATGGCCAGCCTGGAAAGGTTTAGTCACTCAGAACATGAATCAGCAGAGTAGCGTGCTCACTCCGTGCCTTGAGCTCAGCGAGAGTTTGTGGGGTAACAGTGTTCTCTTAAGAACAGACCAAGTCTCTGGTTCCCAGCTAACATTACTCACAACTGATTAGCCATATCATGTGATTCAGTTCACGTGTGTAAATAACCATAGACCTGTGCCACCTTTGGAAGCATTGTCTTTATTGGCAGCAAGAAGAGAGGTGGGATTTTTTTTTTCTTTTTAGTTAAGTTTTTCTTTAACTTAAGAGTGACGTTAAGACCCAGTGAAAATCAATTGTCAGGGATACCTGGTTTGAAATCATACTTTACGTTCCATCTCTAGTTGGTCTGAAAGAGGGACACTGATCTCATAGCAAGTAAGAGGACTGCAGGATCCTCTAGCTGGGGACAGAAGACGCCAGACACATTTACTCATACACGTACGAATAGTTTAATTTTGTTTCTTCTTAAGCACCTTTATAGTTCATTTTTATTTTCCTTTAAAAAGGAGGGGGGTAAATGGCATTGCTTTGGTCTCCAAAACAGATGCCAGTTTGAACTTTATTTTGCCAGCAAGTATTTGGTTTGGCTCTGCGGGGCGTGAGTTGAAAAATATTTGCCGATTCCAAAAAGACTTAGCGAGCTTTGCTGCAGACGCCGTGCCATCTGGCTCATCACAGGGCCTTTGGTGGAGCAAAGAGAGCTCCCTTGACCACAGTTTTCATTTGCCCAGGGTAGCCAGCACTGGGATTCAGTTGATTCTTGGGGTCAAGAAATTACAGGTCAAATGGGTTAGTTTCCCCAAAGCAGGCTGGGGGGGGTGGTTAGGGCAGATTTCACCCCCACGTACATGATGGATAACTTTCAGAATGGTCCACAGTATCGTCACACCGATTGTCATACACCATCAATGCTGCCAACCAGCATACAAGATACACACCCACTTCTAGAAAGTACCACCCTCGTCAGATACAAAAGAGAAGAAACAGAAGAGTGATGCTGCAAGGCATTTCGGCCATGCGATGGGAACTGTGGTGTTGGAATATAACTACATTCAGAGAGAATGGCTGCTTCCTGTAACTCGGCTAAGTCATGTCAGAAAATCGACTTACGTGGCTGAGAGACAAGAACCTTCTTTATTAAGACCTAGTAGGATATAGACGCACAGATCCGTCTTGGAAGACTGGCCACACTGCCCCCGAACATCAGAGGTTAAAGATCACTGGAGGTTGTCAAGTGTGGTCGTGCCACACAGATGGCCAGAAAAGAAGACTCGCATCCTTTCAAACCAGTGTCACATTTGAGAGCTATGCCAAATAATAATAAATAATAAAAATAATGCACTGTTCCTATAACTGTGGACATGTAAGAATCGAAAATCTGTTTTAATGACATTGAGTAAGAAGAGTGACATTAAAGATGTAGCTAGGTTATAGAGTTCTGCAATATTTTATTATTTCACACAATGAGCAAATAAAAAAAATAGTAGGGCATATTCTACCCTAATGCCTATGTACTTCCCCAAATTTCTCAACACCCTTTCTTTAACACCAAATGCTAAACCCTGGCTTGGGAAATGGTTATCTGATGCAGAAAACCTATATCAAATATCTGGAAGACCAAGTCAACCTCTCAATCGCCTTTTCAGAGAAATCCCTATTCACCAGAACAAAGAGTGAAGCATGAAGCGCTCTCTTAACTGAGGGTTGGAAACAGACCAGAACTCGACATCACAATCACGAGCAATGTAACAAACGGATGATCAAAGCTCTTTCTTACCATTTTGGCTTCTGAATGCATTGGCTGGACTTGGGGAGAAGCACAGGGGTTGCTGAGGTTGGGGCCTTGCATGCCCATGATGCTGGAGTTCACTGACATTTGTCTCTCCATCTGCGAGAAAGGCAGGTAACACAATTAGGAGACTAGGAGGGCAGCGGAGGCTACAGACATAGCTGCACTTTGGCCAGGGTTCGGGGAGGTCATTAAGCATTTCACTGAAGAGCTGAGGGACCACAGGCTTGGTGCAGGGAGTAATGCTCTCTTGAATCTTGAACCTGAGCACATCAAAGAATCACCCAGTTCTGTGTGCTCCCTAGAAGATTCCCCATGCCAAGAGGAACTGCCTGGTCTGGCAGACATTGCCAAAGAAAACCACCAAATGTTTCTGCTTCACTACACACTTCAACCACCTCCAGTCATATTTAATTTTGTTCCTATAAAGAACAATATATGCATACAATGTTAAAGATTATGCAATGTACCAAATGGTTACCTTAGGATGCCTTGGGCGTTATTTTATCTGAACTTTTATATAGTAAACACGAATTATTCAGAAGAGGAAAAAAATTAATTTCAAAGCACCCCTGTCTCCTGTAGTGCTTCTCTCTGCCTTTGTAGGGCATTAGCACAGTCAGCACAGCCCAGGGCAAGATGGCAACGCCTGTTATCTTTGCACTTGATGGGCAAAGGGGGGAGGATTGTGACTTGGAGGTCACTCTAAGTGACTGGAGTTCTAGACCAGCCTGAGCTACACAGTAATACCCCATCTCAAAAACAAACAAAACAAAAGAACCATAGCGCCGTCCCCCGCCCCGACACACACACACCAATTGACCCTAGAGTATCTCCTATCCCTAACCTGGCCGTGAGTCCACACAGCTCTTGTGTGAGGCCCCCACAGCAGACTAGGCTTTCTGTGAGGAAGAAAGGAGCTGGGGGGTGGGGATTACACATCACGGATGAACCGTTTCGTGTGTGTGTCCTCTTGCTAGGCTACCATTGCCTGCCATTAATAGCGATGCAATCCATAAACAGAGTGCCGGTATCTTCAGGGCATCCTATAGGTAATCACAGGATGAGGGCACTTTACCTGACTGCTTTGGAATAGATGTCTTTCTCAATTATAGATGTTTTAGGATTTTGGAACATTTACATGTATATAATTCAGGGGATAAAATTGATGTCTAAATATGAAACACATTAATATTTCATGGACCACTTATATAGGCCATCTATAGCTAATATACTAAGTCTTAGTGCTCCTTGCCCCCAAAAGGTTTCAGATTTTGGAGTTACAGATTAATCAACTTGCATAGCATAATTTCTGTGTCAGTACAGAAAGGATGCATATGGTCACTAATACTGTGTGTGAAGGAGAAAAAATAGTACTTTTCAAAGAAGAATGAAATCAAATACACTTCTATCAAGCCGGAAATAATCAGTCTGCCTGCTGGGGACACAGTGACGCTTCAGTGTATTTCCCCTAAAGGGCAGAGATGTGCTTAGAAATTTGGGGGTTCCCCATTCCCTAACTTAGCCTACGTGATTTTGGAAAGTAGAGAGTTTCTTGTCGATGAAGGTTCAAAGTGGAGTGTGGAAGCTTCCCTCCGGGGCAAGTTTGAGAGCAGTCTGCGTGAGATGCTCTTGGAAGGGCCACTCAGGTGGCCGAGCTTCAGTGGCTGTGATTCCTTTGGTGTTGACCCTGGCAGAGGCACCCGGTTAGTCTGCTCTCTTGAGCGATCAAGTGGTGCCAGCTGAAGACTTTCTTCAAAGGTGGATACGAGTCTTCCCTTAGCCTGGATCAGCTGCCCTGTTATCCAGCAGGGGTGTGGGGAACGGTGTCAACAGGAGTTAATGAAGGCCAGCTTCTTGAGGCCTTGACAATTCAGCAAAATAAAACACCCATCCCCATGTGTGCTAACTCTCTAGGCAGCATGGGTATTCTATTTTTAAATCATTTGAGTTGTGATTAAATATACTTAACATAAAATTTACCATTTAACCCATTTTAAGAGCTCTTGAGTTGAGTATCATTAAGAACATTCTCACAAGCTGTAATTAAGTTGTGAAGAATTCAAGAAATGCACCTTTACTTATTTTGCCCCCAGAGGCCAAGCAATCAGAGGAATGGAGCTGCATTAGGCCCTTTATTCCAATGAGGATCTTTTAGGGAGGGAAATCAAAGCCCAGGTGAGCTTTGCCTTCCAATTCTAGAAGGATGAAATATTCCATCCATACAGGGGTGAGAGCAGCCTGCTTGCGGCTTCCTGGCAAGGAGTCAACAATCCTGCTCATTTTTTTTTTAAAGTAGTTGTCTATGATTGTTACTGCTCTGTTACACAAAATGCTGGCTCTAACCAGGCTGTTTTCTACATCTGTTAGAAGGAAAACCTGGGTTCTCCATCTTGCTGATTACCACCAGGTAGAGTGTGAGCAAGCGTCACCTGACAGCAAGCACCGGGAGCTTTTCTGGGCCAGTGCCCTGCCTGCACCACAGCCCGACTTTAGAGAGCTGACAGGAACAGAACAGCTTTGCTGAATGTCCAGCAGCATTTTATCACTGTGAGTAAATGACTCAGCAAGGGTTAGGTTGTCGCTCAGGGGTAGAGAGCCCCCTAAACATGAGGAGGCTTGGGTTCCCATCTCCAGTTACACAAAAGCACCCATATGGATTCCCCTCTCTTCTCACTCTGGAAAGTAAGATCTAGAGTATCCACAGGTTAGGAAGCTCTTCTAATGATAAATGGGTGCCCATTTTCCCAAATTGTGGAGCCATTTGACTTTCAAGATAATAAGAAATCACTACTCGGGAGTCCTTGAAGGCAGCACCTGCCTTGTACTCCCTGGAGCCTTAGCATCTAGCAGTTCCTGGCGCACAGGAAGTGGGCAGCATGAATGAAGGAATGAATAGATAGATAGATAGATAGATAGATAGATAGATAGATAGATAGATA